AATTAAATTTATATACATACATATTTAATCATGACTTCAAGTACTAATTAATTATATTTCATTGGGCTTGACTTGACGTTACTAAACTAAGAGTTTTAAGCTCTTGGAAACGGAAAACAAACAAATCTGTTATTAGTGTATTACTTCCATATCTTTTTTATTTCGTGTTCCTAGCTATACCAAAATGTAAATATAGTAAATATCCTAGCTGTACCAAAATGTAAATATAGTAAATATCATGTTCTGAGCACATTTTGCTACCATCTGGACATTTGTCTATATATTCCTCAAGTGCCTGCCCACTGTGCCTTAATCTCAACTTGCATTGTGACTTCTGCTCTTCTTCGGTTACTATTTTGGCTTCGGCTTCTACTTTGATTGTGACCTGTGTGTGTTTTTATTTTTATGTGTTATTTCTATGACAAGGCCTTGGCTCGATTTGAGCCTATTGTTTGTCGAGTTTGCGGGGGTGTCAGATGCATATACAAACAGACGAGCACTCACACACACACATACATCATATGCTTTGTTTGCATGCGAAGATGGTAGATAGAGATATGGGAAATGATATGAGAGCTGCGTCTGCCATCATTTTGTTAACGCTTTTTACACTAACCTGTATCTGATTGCGTCTGACGTCATAGTGCAGCCAATTGTCTGTGGAGAAGGCGATCGCGAGCAGCGCTGTGGCGATAATCGCACAGATTGTCGCTATCGATAGCGTCACGGCTGAGCAGGGCATCTTTTTTCAATTAGCTCGGTGTAGAGATACTGGCGACAGCTACTGTTAAAGCGCTTGCTACTCTTGGTTGTTGTTGTTGCTGCTGCTGCGGCTGCTGTTACTGTTACTGTTTTTGTGCTCCTTTTTGCTGCCGCTAGACGAATCTTTTTTTTTGCGACGTTTTTCCGAACGACTTACAAAAAATACGGTTCTTCTATTGTTATTGCTACTACTGCGATTGTTGTTGTTGTTATTGCTGCTGATGCTAGCTCTTACGTTCGCAGCTAGCTTCTGCTTCTTATGGCAGCAACCAGTTTGTGCTGCTGCGGCACAGAAAAAAAAGAACTCAAAAAAACAAAATCAACGTGTATAATAATTTACAAACGGGAACGGACCAGCCAAGTAACACAGGCACAGTAACCGACACACGCACAGCTCAGGCACAAACACAAACACACACACGCACACGCGCACGTTGAGACGTTGACTAATGCGACTAACACGACAACGGCAAACTGCGCTCAAGACAACGTTCGCCAGCGGACTGAACGCCAAAACTCTGAGCCAAGTTTCAACAGCCTAGCTCTATAACGAAACAGACGACGATGACGACGGCGACGGCGACGGTGACGTACGCTGAAGCAGAGACGGCGACAGCAACGCTGAAATGCAACCGACCCGGCGCGTCTACCTGCTGGATAAGACCAGCAACAACAGCAATACAAGCGAGAAGAAAATCGTAAAAACAAAAACAACACAGCTTCAGCGATCGCTCTTGTTGTTTTTGTTGTTATTTCTGTTTGTGTTTTTGGACTTGTGTGTGTTTTGCGTGGCTGTTTTTGTGTCTGTTGATTTTTTCTTGTACTTGCTGCTGCTTGGCATGCTGAAGACGTTGACAGGAACCAGGGGCTGGGGCAAGGCATACACTGAAAAAAAATATACATATACATATGTATGTATGTACATACATATATTAAATATGTTAAGTTAAATCAATGTAATTTTACATGATGGTTAATATTTAAGGCTTAAAAATTTATAAATTATATAAAGTGAAACAAATCAACAGTCCAAGGCGTTTGAAAATTTGTGATTTTATTTTATTTATGCATGTTAAGTACTGTTTTTTTTTACGATCAAACTTGTATGACTAATTTAAAAAAAAAAAAA